AATATGAGTATATTATCTGTGCAAGTGTCAATTTTTCACCATTAGACCAGGAAAAAAAAACTGTGTAATTTATAGTTGTCTTCCATAATCCTCAGGTGACTAGGGGTGTGTGAGTGTGTGTGTGTGTACACACACACACACACACACACACTTTTGAATTCCTCATCTGCTTGTCTGTTTAAGGAATATTCCTGGTTAACAAATCTGCATCTAAATGCAAGCTTCAACATCAGTAATCTAGAACAATGCTAATCAGCTTTCAAGCAAAATCAATACAACCTTAGGTCATGGACATGTGGTTGCCATCAGAGAACCACAGACTATTAGGAGTACAAGAGTCAACCTGTTATTCTGGGGTTTCCTTTAACATTGTCTACAGACATTTAGACTTATTCATTTTAATATCTATGTTGATTTATTTTGTAAAGTCTCTGTCATTTACTTTATGGCCTAAACTGAAGCAAGGAAATTAATGTTTTGTTTGCTACCATAAAGTAGCAAAATGGATACTGTTGTGATATCACACATTTTAGGTAAGGGCATGATCATGTTGTGACTAATAAAGATAAGAGATGCTATGCTACAGTTGTGTTTAATTGTTATTTTCTTTGTTGAGAATAAAAATGTATACTTTGGATGTGTGTTTGTGTGTGTTACAATTAAATCTAGTGCCAGAATCTAAGATGAACAATCAAAAGATTAAAGAAAAAAAAAAGGAAAGGCAGCAAACTTTTTTTTCATTAACCATATAAACAAGTATAAATAATGCTGCTTTCTGTTGTCATATAGTTTTACTGACCTTTTGTTTCAGTAGTTTAGCTCTGATATTTAAAAGACCTCTGGTGTATAGAATTACTAAATACTGTCTTCTAGTTTCCCCTTTCATTGCTTTCTCTGTAGCAGCAGATGAGCTTCAGACAGCAACTTTATGCCTGAAGGCTTGTGCATCACCAGCAATCTTTTTGTTATCTCCCCCCCGCAACCCGCTTCAGTATCAGAAACCATCCCTAGTGCAATAACACAAGATATTTTTGACATTTTTCAAATTCAGAAGTAGGTTGCTCTGCAGCATAAGGTATTGGATGAAGAAAAACATAAATGCAACAGGTTCCTAGAATTAATTCCATAATACTTTGGATCCAAATTTGGCATTGGAGAAAAGACAATTGGCTCTGAGGTAACTTTGCCTTCCATTTTGCTTCATGAATGCCTCTTCCATTCAAACCATTTGGTGAATTTCATAACATGAACGACCTCTGCAGCAACCTTCCCCAAACAGATGTCTACCATATTGTGGCTGAGAATTACAATAGTGTGCAAAAGTTTTAGGCAGGTGTGAAAAAATGCTGTGAAGTAAGAATGCTATACAAAAATGTATATTGTAATTGTTTATGTTTATCAATTTACAAAATGGAAAATGAGTGAACAGAAGAGAAATCTAAATCAAATCAATATTTGGTGTGACTACCCTTTGG